TGAAAATGGTGTCAATATAGAGTTCGAGGTGGTGTATGCATTGTCACCAACATCACAGACCCAGTTGGGAGATTTTTAATTGCCAACGAGAGTTTCCACTTGAGATATGCAGCTGCATCACCTGTTCCTCTAGGACTTGAACAGAATACTTGTACAGTAAATGCTCTTACTTCCGGTATCGTGGTCCGACCATATCCTAGGATTTGATATATTTTATAAAGGTAACACTACAAATTCAACTGAGAAGCAAGGAGAATAATATCCTCCACATCTACATCGGATCCGTAGCTTGTGAAATCAAAACCTCTTTGCTTCTTTCATCTACGACATTAAAGATAATACCCGTGTGGCGAAAGCAGCTCTCAATGATACGGTTACCTTGCAATCCATTCCAGATTTCGTTGCTCCATTGCATTGCCTGCAACTGGTCCACGGCGTACGCCGTACTATCAGCCTCAACGCCGTCCTTAATCTTGTCGTATACCCGGAGTCGCTTCCTTCTGTACGCCATTTTAAAAGAAGCGATGATGCCCGCGTCCATAGGTTGTAGGAACGCAGTAGTGTTGAAGGGAAGAAACTCCACTCGAATACTGGTGCACACAAAATCCCCCAGTTTGTGTGAAGAGGCATTGTCGAGAAGCAAGAGGATATGACGCCCACACCCTCGCATATCCCTGGCTAAATTGAGTAACCACTCCCTAAAGATGACGTCTGTCATCCACGCCTTCTTATTAGAACAGTAGCTAAAGCCGAGTTCCTCCGTCGTGCGTTTCTTAAAACAGTGAGAATCCTTTGCGTGCCCCAGATAGAGCACCGGGAGCTTGTCAGTCCCGTCCGCGTTTACAGTTAGAGCGAGGGTGATTCTTGTCTTCTTTTTCTTGGCGCTGCGGCTCCCTTAGTACAAATTGAGCGGGCCGGATCCATGGCGTAACAAAGCCCCGTCTCATCTATGCTGTAGATATCCTTAGGTTCGTTCAGGTCAGTAATCTCTTAAAGTCGCTGGCGGTCTAGGGAAACTGCTACAGGATCTGCAGATCGAGCTTCACCAGGCAGCGTTCGACCCTTCAGTCGGTGCCTCCGTTCAAAAGCGGTTAGCCATCCATCCAAAAAGGTCAGATCCCACGCATCACACAAGTCTGTCTAAATATCACGAGCTTTCATCTTAATTAATTCGCGAGAAAGACACACACCCATAGCCTCAACCTTCTTAATCCAGTCCAGTAGCAATTTCTCCAGCGCAGGCGACGTCACGTGTCGCGGCTTACGCCTCTTGCCATCGCCGTAGCCTTCGCTCATGATCTTGGTTGCGTTTTTCAGGATGTCGGAGACTGTAGTTTGCGGTGACACTCGCTTTAGCTTGTGCTCTGCCTTTGCCCACGTACCGAGCTCTTCTTGCGTCATGCTGGGGAAATCAGCTGCCTTCTGGATAAGCCCACGCTTCTGCTGTATCTTCATCCATCTCCCCATGACTAGATGTGCTGCTCGCTGCGGGTTCTGTTGTGTGAAGTGCGATCTTTGCGTGGAGCGAGCAGATTAAATGACTGGCGCCGAGAGACCCCTATCAGAGGCCCAATCAATTTTCCCTCTTTAAAATGATTGTATTGAAAATTTAAGGAAATTGATTTATACCAGTACCGGAATAGGAAGCATATACTGCATAACTTTGTTGTAAAGCACAATAAAATGTTACTTCATGAAGTATAGTTGGACTGTAGAGTTTAGTACCGGTAGGTGCCTTTGGTGGCACCAAGTTTTTCACGCCCATGGCAGGCAATAATACAAGTTCTATGGCAACTTTTTAGCAAGCGAATGCGTAGTAGTAAGTACGTTTACTTTTACAT